GTTTTCATAAATTTTTATTTATAAATATTGTATCTATATTACTGTACATATATAATATTACATCTGAGATTAATCATCACATACAAGATTATCCAAGGAAAGCCTACTTGTAGCATCCTGCTCCTATTGAATAAACAATCTTTTTATGAATCAGAACTTTTAATGTGAACTGATCATAAACTGTGAAATATCAATTAACCTTCAATGATTTCATATAAATATCCAGTTCATCCTCAGTCTCAATTTCATTTGTGTCTTCAGCTGGACCAATAGTTTCAGGTGATTCTGAATCAAAATATTTATCTTCTTCATCCTGTGTTCTTAGATCTATATTGTCATATGCTTCATTGTCATCAACATTACTGAAAGAATTGAAGAAATTTATAATGTTCAAGCAACAAATTCAAATATACTATTGCAAGAACTGGTATTAAATGATTATAAAAACCTGTAATCAAAATCTGTGTCTTTCCCATCCAGAAAGCTTTGATACATATTGGTCACAAATTCCTGTTTAAGTATTTGTTTCTCTGCCTTTGAAATACTATCTGGATCTATTACTGCTCTATTATGTTGTATACTACTACTTTCCGACATAGATGTTTTACCCCATAAAGTAACTTTATCTATGCTTTCTATTGAACTATACACATCCTCCTGTTCTTCATCTGAATCATTTTCCTCTAACACACTTTGTTCTTCTTCTTCCTGTAATTTTTGCTTCTTCTTTAAATTATCCCTTTCAATATTTTCCATTAATAAATTCACAAAAGTAATATTTTTAGTATCTATATTATCTCTAATTTTTTTTTGTTCTTCAGTCATATATTGTCCAACTAAATGCTCATATAACAAAGGATTTCTCTTCATCATTTCAGTTTCACTAAAGTATTCTCCTTCTTCTATTAATGTTTTCAAAGCTTGATATCTCCTATTTCTAACATCTGTCTGTCTTGTTGAATTGTTAAAATATCTTTGCAATCTGTTAAAATGATGAGCAATTTCATAATCTTTGTCCTTAAGCTTTTCAAAGTATTTTAAATGTTCTCTCTTCATATAATGTCCAAACTTAGACAAGAACAAACAATAGCTCTTTTGAAGAACATTCCGCGCAATTGTTAATTTTTCTTCAAAACTCAAGTCTGGATCATTTTTTTGTTGACTTTTGAAAATTGCCTTGCTATTTGCTACATGATTTAATAGTTTTTCTTCCAAAGATTTTTCCTGTTCTTCTCCATCCAAGGAAGTATATTGCAAATTATGATCGTTATCTTTTTCATCTACAATCATTTCTGGCATACAGTCTTCTCTGTTACTCATGTCTAAGCAAAGTATATGTTTTTAACCATAACCTTCACATAATTAATCGATATGATTAATTTATTTGTCAATGTTATTTTATAGATGCATATATATTAGTTTCGAACTTATTAATAATTTAAAGCATTTTTAAAATAATATTTTATCGTCATTCTTATTTTAATGTACTTTCCCCATATGATTGACGAAACATCAGTTTCAATTGATGCGTCATCAACACTGGCTGTCACCGGAGACTTAACCAACAATTTTTCTTTGATATGAGGCTACTTTCAAACATGATACATCACGAAATGTGTAATAA